GACACAAGCGTTTACTTCAGAGGTCAACCACGTTGGTGTTGTGTGTGGTGTTTGCGCGTGTGTATTTATAGCACGGGTGTGTGAGTCATACATGCGCTAACATCGAGGCCTATGTGTGGGGACACTCCAAGATAAATATTCGAGCTAATGAAGCGGGAGTTGAGGATTCGAGCGGCTGGCGACATGCTGCGACAAGGGGAACCCTGTTTAGGAGGTGGAGCGACCGGATTACGAGGTTGAATAAAAAGGATTCACGACATGTTGATCGTTGGAAAGTTGGAGTATGATGCCGAATGGTAAGATCGATGACGAAGTTTGATCTGATGAGAGGGGAGAACAAGGCCAAAAATGGATCGAAGGGACTTGCTCAGCAAGGGTCGGATTTCGAGGTCGTTGTTTCGAAAGACGTTCTCGTAATTAAAATAACGAGAGTCGAATGATGAGGGAAGGATGATAGCCACTAGGTGATTCAAGTCAATGGCAATATTCGAAAGTGTGATTGATCGGTCCCACTTCGGCGACTCGAAAGAGAAATCACTTTTTAAATCAGATTTGCATGCAGGTTCGCGAGATGCGGAAAAGAGATTTGGAAGCAGAACGCAACGCGGTGTCAAAAATACAGGCGACAATTATGACGAATCGATGTAAGAAAGTGCTACTAAGTAACTGCGTGTTTACATGAGTGCCATCAGTCAGACTGCACTCACACACACGTGAACATCGGTCACTTCGGTGGATTTCAGCGTTGGCCGCTTTCACGGTGGCAGTCGTCAGTTTTACGAAGCAAATTCTTGTCGCCACCACCATTGACCAATCAAAGTTGGCTGTTTCTGTAGGTAGCCAAAAATTTGTTCCAAATCAGGCAAATATTTGCACATTTATCACCTCCAATTCTATTGAAATGAGAGGCAGAAATAGTAGCTAATTAAATTGCATCAGTTTGCTTGGGTAAATGGGTGAAACTAGTCGCGCTTAAGGATATAAATTGGCGCGAATTACCAATCAGGTCTTAGAAGCGAAAAAGGCTTCTGCTATCACCTATCGTCTTTTGTGGCTTCACAGATGTTGATTAACTGGAAAAGCTGTTTAGAGCCCCACATCTATTTTTTTTCACTTCTCACCCCCTTCAGACGATTCTTAACAATGCTTCAACTGTGATTCATCCGCCAGCACAGACAATGTTCGAGGCTGTCCCCGTTCTAGGTTCTCCTTGGGGTAAAACCGCGTACTTCATGGCCGCTTGTCCGTCCAATGGCAGTTTATTCAAGCGCAATCCAGTTCAACTTGATAAAAGTCAGATCCTGCCATGGCAACGCGTCAAAATTACAATTTTTGAAGGGTGCAGATTAGGGCTGTTTCGACAGCTTAACGCAAAGCTTTAAATTGTTGAAGGACTCTTGACATGCCAAGCGGACTCGTGAAACAAGGAGTTTGAACATTCCACTAATGATGGTAATTGCCACACAAACACATACACCACTTTTTCAGGAATCTGAAGAAGAGGCCAATGATAAGCAAAATCCGTGTTAGACAACGATAAATGATTAGAAGTGACCAATCAACAATCACATTAATACATCTGTTCATCAGTATTTGCTCAATTGGGGGAGAAGCAGACGATTTAAACAAGAACATCTTATACGAATCGGCCAAACCCGAGACAGCATGTACCTCGATGCAGTTGTAAGACCCATTTAGTAAATCGATAACCACTACGTCCGATCTCTATGTGCAGTTTCAACAATCCACCTTGTTAAAACACACTTTAGGTCGATAGTGTTCACGAAATCAAGCGGCATGAATACTACTGATTTTGAGGGGAAAATTAATAGGATACGATTCGGTGGAAGTCGATGTCAAAGTCAAGGGAAACGACATGCTAACGATCTCACACGTTTGAACTGTCCCCAATTGGTCACGTCGATTCTCAAGCGAACCAATCACGGCTAAGATGTGAGACCTACAATCAAGCGTTACCAGAGTTGCACGATCTTGAATGCGCCTAATATTTCCTTGATTTGTGGTGACAACTTGAAATATCGCAGTTTGAGGCCCATGCATATCGCCACTGCCCACTTGATTCTGCCGCAGAATCGTCGGGATAGCAATTATTAAACGAAACTACCA